ATTCTACTACATGGGGGCACCTGGGTGGCTTAGTCGTTAAGCATCTGCCTTCGCTTAAGGTCATGATCCCAGGGTCCTGGGATTGAGCCCCACATCAGGCTCCCTGCTCAGTGGGGAGTCTGCTTCTCCCTCTGCCTGCAGCTCCCCCTACTTGTGCTCAAATAAATAAATAAAATCTTTAAATATTAAAAAAAAAAATATTCCACTACATGCTTGTTAGAATGTTTAAAATTTTAAGATTATTTTATTTATTTATTTGACAGAGACAGGGAGAGAGGGAACACAAGCAGGGGAATGGGAGAGGGAGAAGCAGGCTTCCAGAGGAGCAGGGAGCCCGATGCGGGACTTGATCCCAGGACCCCAGGACCATGACCTAGCCGAAGGCAGACACTTAACGACTGAGCCACCCAGGTGTCCCCTAGAATGTTCAAAATTTTTAAAAGACTGACGATGACAAACTTGGTGAAGAAACAGAGCAACTAGAACTTTAATACACTGCTGGTAAGACTATAAAAATGGTGCAAGCACTTTGGAAGTTTCCTATTTCTTTAAAAGTTAAACCCATATCTACTTTATGTCCCAACCCTCCTACTCCTAAGAAATTATCCAAGAGAAATGAAAGCATATATTCATGTAAAGACTTATAAAGAAATATTCATAGCAGCTTTGTTTGTAATAGCCATAAACTAAAAACAACCCAAATGTCTATGAACAGGTGAATGGGTAAACTGTAGTACATCCATACAATGGAATACTACTTTGCAATAAAGAGTAATGAACTACTGATAACATGAATAAATCTCAAAATTATGCTGAGTGAAAGCAGAAAAACAAGACTGCATACTCTATGATCCTGTTTACATAAAATTCTAGAGAGTGCAAACTAATCTATAGTGACAGAAATAAGATCAGTGGTTGCCTAGGGGTAAGCAGTAAGGCAAAGAGGGACCCAGGGAAACTTTTGGGAGGGATATGTTCATTATCTTAATTATGGTGACTGTTTCACGAGTGTATACATGTCAAAACTTATTGTACACTCTAAATTTGTGTAGTTTATCGTATGTATTTATTTTCTTAACAATTTTTTTTAAGGATTCTATTTGTTTATTTGAGACCAAGAGATACAGAGAGAACACGAGCACGGGGAGAGGCAGAGAGAGAGGGAGAAGCAGACTCCCCACTGAGCCTGGAGCCACATGTGGGACTCAATCCCAGGACAATGGGACTTAACTAGAGCCGATGGCAGATGCCCAGCCATCTGAGCCACCCAGGCGCCCCTATTGTATGTATTTATACCTCAGTGAAACTTTTTTAAAAGTCAGGCTTTTTTTTTTCTTTCCTTAAAAATGAGAGGTAGTAATTACTCCAAGAAAGATTTCCCCCATGTATTTTAACTTTTTTATTACTTTCTTCAAATTATTTGTAGGAAAAATTCAAAGCAGTTTCTTAGGTCATTCATGGACTACACAAAATATATTTTATTTTAAAAATTCAAGTTATACACTCTCAGCAAAGGTAACATAAAACTTTAGGGGCACCTGGGTGGCTCAGTCTGTTCAGCCTCTGCCTTCAGCTCAGGTCATGATCTCAGGGTCCTGGGATTGAGCCCCACGTTGGGCTTCCCTGCTCAATGGGGAGTCTGCTTCTCCCTCTCCCTCTGCACCTCCCTCTGCTTGTGCGCACACACACTCTCTCTCTCTAATAAATAAATAAAATCTTAAAAAAAAAATCTAAAATGTAAACATAAATGATTATCACTAATACGGGATAAAGCCTGCCATGAAGTCTATACAGTTATGTGAAAGTAAGGGGGTTAAGATTTTCTTAAATCATCATCTTCAAACAATTCCTCATGACAATTTTACTATGATCTTACCTAACACATCTTAACATTATATGACAGACTTTTGAACTCTATCCACAGAATCAATCTATCTAATACTTAACTATTTTTCATAGTAATATTAAAAGTAAAGATGGGGCACCTGGGTGGCTCAGTCGTTAAGCGTCTGCCTTTGGCTCAGGTCATGTCCTGGGATTGAGCCCTGCATGGGGCTCCCTACTCAGCGGGGAGCCTGCTTCTCCCTTTCCCACTCCCCCTGCTTGTGTTCCCTCTCTCGCTGTCTCTCTCTCAATAAATAAAAAAAAATAAGTAAAATCTAAAAAAAACCCCCAAAACATAAGGATGTAGATGCTTTATCATCTGGCCAAAAAAAAGAGACAAATTTCTATTAAGTAGGTAAATATTTCATTTGTCACCTGTTTACAGTGTCAAGCTTAAGAGTAGTTTCTTTCAGTAAGGTACAGCAATTACTAATACTGAATAAAAAGCTCAAATTTTAATTTCTTTCAAACAATATGGTACAGTTAGAAAATTCTTTGTTTCAACATAAAATATACAGCCTGAAAAGTAACAAGTGAAATGAACTTCCAAACATTTGAAATACTGTAGTTTCACGCTTTAAAAATATATCAGAGGCAAAACATACTCCATTCCTTTCACCACTAACGTCACCCTCCCCACCCCAGAAAGGGAAACCAGTTGCCCCAACAGCTCCAGGCAACTGCTAAAAACAGGAAGCACAGAGTAACTGAAACTGCAGGATAAACCTGGTTAGCAAAACCATTTTAAATGTTTCAGGTCACATCAGTAATTCACTTAGAAAGGAGCCACACTTAAGGGGCACCTGGGTGGCTCAGTCAGCTAAGCATCTGCCTTCGGCTCAGGTCATGATCCCAGAATCCTGGTATTAAGCCCCGCTTTGGGCTCCCTGCTCAGCAGGAGTCGGCTTCTCCCCCTCCATCTGCCCCTCCCCCCACTCATGCTCTCTCTCATGCTCTCTCTCTCTCAAGTAAATAAAATCTCAAAAAAAAAAAATAAGGAGTAGCACTTAAACACATTATGTAGCACAAGTCTATCTGGCAAAGTGTTTTATACTGCATATTGAATCAAATATTCATTTTTCAATGGAATAAGTATGTCAATATAATAATAGGGTAATGATAACAGTACATAAATATGAACTCTCAGCGTTTTACTAAACTTCACTGGAGGGGTGCCTGGGTGGCTCAGTCAATGGTCGTCTGCCTTCGGCTCAAGTCATGATCCCACCTGGGATCAAACCCCGCATCGGGCTCCCACGGGAGGCCTGCCTCTCCTTCTCCCACTCCCCCCTGCTGGTGTTCCCTCTCTCACTGTGTCTCTCTGTGTCAAATAAATAAATAAAATCTTTTAAAAAATAAAAATAAAAAAAATAAACTTCACTGGAATTTATTCTGTTTGAAATATAAAACTTGACACTGCTAAGTTTTATAATCAACCATTCTAAGAACACTGCTCTGAAACTTGAATAAGGATAATCTTAAATGGTTTCTTCAAATTTTCTCACCAGCTTGAAATTTATTCTAATCTTCATAAATACAACTTTAGTTGCATATTACACATATTAAGCTAGTTTACAGAAAAAGAAGAGTTAAAGCTACATCCTCCATTTGTAGGGCCTGGTGCTGAACTATGTAAGCACATTGTGTTTGTGTATGTGTGTGCACACGTGTGTAAAGTAATAAAATTACTTTATTATAGCTGACTTTTTAAAAACATTTCCAGGCGCCTGGGTGGCTCAGTTACTTAAGCGTTTGCCTTCGGCTCAGGTCATGATCCCAGGGGCCTGGGACTGAGTCCCATGTCAGGAGTCTGCTTCTCGTTCGCTATCTCATTCTCTCTCTCTCAAATAAATAAATAAAATCTT